GAGAAGCAGTCATGTCTACTATGTCATCAAAACTAACAAAAACGTTAAACCATTTTTACGAGTATATATTTAGGGCAACGAATTGGGTTCTCACGATGGGGTCGGCTATGACCATTTGAAAATACAATTAGATATCCGTCGTCTAGTCAACATACTTCTTTATTCACTCAAATTTGTTTATTGGATGTAAGTGTATAGCGCGGAAGAGAGATGACTCTCCAACCAGAAACAGTTGAACATACGCGTCAAACTTTGAAGACGCGACAGACCATTTTCTGGTTTCTACCTCCGGTCCGCCAACTGCTATCTGTGTGAGCCTACTGATTGAGCTGCTTCTTTAAATGCGCAGAATAGAGAGACCTCCCACTCACTCCCCTTTTCCAGCGTTTTAGTATCAGTCCCTTTTCAATCTGTTCGCACTTATCTTTCGCCTAACGTTAGTTCTCTCAGACCCTTTGCCCACGGAATGAGACAGTGATGTACGAGAAAATCTTCTGTACACTAAATGTGTGAACGGCACGATTTGCACGTCCCATTGGTCGAGTCAAAAGGCTCGAACGCAAAAGAGTAGGACATACGTTTCGGTGATGTACGTAAACATTTACGTATTCCCTCTCCTACGTTTGATTCCATAAGCATAGTTATGGGATTTTGAAGATTATCTGCTGAGTAATCGCAGTCATGAGGTTGGCAAGTATGTTAATAAGACAAGAGCAATGTGACAAACATTGAATGCAGGTGGACCCTCCTCCATGGATGTGAGGTTTGCTTGGAGGGTTGTTAGATGGCTTGAGGGTTTCCTTGTCTTCTATAAAACATTATTTTCCTTCTTTATCCAATCTTTGGACATAATCTTGTGGGCTTTGAGGGACCAAGGATGTGAAATAAAACCTAGAATAGGAAAGTAGGAGGCCACCAAGTCGTGGAACACGTGCGTGACAGATATAGCATTTCACATTCCAGCATTCAATCCGATCCCTTCATCCTCTCCCCACCACAAAATGTCCTGTGGCTTAACTCCGATGAGCAAATCTTGCCATATCGATGCTGCTAAAGACTTTAATCAAGATGCAATGCGATTTTCAGAAGGGACTAAGGAAGAAAGATGCTTCGTGAGTGGGATCTGATTGATTTTTCCCATTCTGTGCTTTGTACTCGCTTAGGCAGTGTCCAACAAAACCTTTTCTTGGTTGAAGATTTACAATATATAAGCCGTGACTTCTAATTTTTTTTGTGTATGGGGCTATATTCAGACACTATATATAGTAAACTCTCGCATGGTAGACAGAGTTAGTTATGCCCTTTTTTTGTCCGATCAAAGACAAGTCATCCAAGACACGGAATCTCATCTAATTTTTCAAATTTTCCCCACTCCGTAGTGTGTTAAGCCCTAACTTTCGAGCAACATTGTAATCTATAGCTCAGAATCATGATTGGTTTTCAAAACCCTCTCAAGATGCATGTACGAGGAAGTTAGAGAATTAGAATCCATCGCTTGATAGTCTCACAATACGACGGTCTAAAGTTTATACTAATGAGCTTAGACCACGGATACTCCATAAAATGAGATGTCAGACTTTTGTTGCACCTTCTAACAAGTGTTTTTTTGAGCTCTCCATTGATAGGATGAGCCCCCAACACAAATTTCGCATTGTTGAGTGACATATTCACGGAGGAATCTCGTGGATGGTCCGGCAAAAGAGATCGCGAATGTAGAGGCACGGCGGATCAACGTAAAAGACTTATGCGCGAGGGCAAGTTTTGTTAACATGCACGCGAGTGTCACGGATCAATGCGCAAGATCGAGATCGTGCGGCAATTTAGGCTTTTGTTGGTTCGATAGATTGCCTAAGTCAAGCCTTTTTGTTCCAAGGATTGATGCTTGCTCACTAAATTACCCAATTCGTAGAGAGAGAATGTGTTTAGAGAGAGAAGCTTTAGGAGAGAACGTACACTTATTGCACAAATGTCGGATGATACAAATGTGGAGAAGATCACCCCTATTTATACATGTGGAGATCTACTCTTCTCAACTACCATTTCCTCTATTTAAAATAAGACTACTACCTATCTCATTAATACAAGTGTGCATTTTCAAGAGATAGTTTTATTCCGTTCCCTATAACCGTCCCTTGGTACATCGAGCCTTGAAAATCTTGGAACCGTGACACGAGAGTGTCTGCGAAATGAAAGGCCGCATCGAAACTTGATGAAGTCAGATCGAACTTCTGCCGCGCTCCCATCACACCCGAATATCAAATTCATCAGACGAGCGATGACGCTACACCGCCTTCTCGATGCTTCCGAAGTGGGGGGAGAGGGAGCGAGCGCGAGATTGGACACGAGTCATCCGCGTCAGCGCCACCAAAAATCAATTTTTTAAAAGCCAGAAGCCCTTAGACCAAAAAAAAAAAAATAAAAACCAGAAGCCCCGAGCACAAGAGATTAGAAAAATAATTAGCCAGTTGATTAGCCAAAGGAAGCAATTACAGGGGTACGTAGTTTCCAACCAGTGTAGTGGAATACAAGACTGTGTGTAATTGGATGTGGGGGATCTTTGTGCCCTAGAAAAACCCTACTAATGACCACTCAACATGGGCATCCTCGCAAAGGGCAGTGGCAAGGAGAGAGCCAAATAGTCAGAGCAAATAAGGCCCACCGTCCTTTATACTTCGCCAGTTTCAGTCTCTCTTTCTTTCTTCCTTCCTTTCTTTCTTTTCCTTCCTTTTCGAATTTGTTCCATGTTTTCATTATTGGGATTTGATAAAAACTTATTATATTCGTCTTCGATTGGAGTCAAAATTGAAGATATCACACAAAAGCCTTTTCTTTCCGTGCATCCATATCCCTCTCTTCTTCCCCCCACTCACGTTCTGGGAATCTGGTGCCATCCCCTTCCTCTGTGTTCCCACGTGTCCACTCGATCCCCACCCCCCCTCTGCATCTGCACTGCAGTCGTCAGACTAGAGGAACTTGTCAAATCTACGAATCTGTCCCGCACGTGACATTACGTAAAACTAGGCCAAATTCCCTAAAAAACCCCAAACTTTAATCTTTATCTCAATTATATCCCAAACTTTTTTTTATCTCATAAAAAATCTCAAACTTTTACTTTTGTCCCAAATCTACCCCGTTTACTATTCGTCTAATTTTTTAATATTATTTTTTATTTTTTCGAATTTTTTTCTTTTCTTTTCTTTTTCCTTTCCTTTTCTTTTTTTTTTATCACCTTCAACCTCTGGCCGGTCGCCGGTCCGGCGACCGGCCAGAGGCGGGGGCCGGCGAGGTCGGCCCCGCCGGCCGCTGGCGAGGCTCGGCCCCGCCGGCAACTGGCGAGGTCGGCCTCGCCGTTGCTGGGCGAGGCCGAGCCTCGCCAGTTGCCGGCGGGGCCGCCTCGCCCAGCAACGGCGAGGTTCAGCCTCGGCCGACCTCGCCGTTGCTGGGCGAGGCCGACCTCGCCAGCGGCCGGCGGGGCCGAGCCTCGCCAGATCTGGCGAGGCTCGGCCGAGGCTGAACCTCGCAACGACGAGGCCGACCTCGCCAGCTGCCGGCGGGGCCTGGCCTCGCCAGATCTGGCGACCTCGCCGGCCGCTGGCGAGGCTCGGCCTCGCCCAGCAACGGCGAGGCCGACCTCGCCAGCTGCCGGCGGGGCTACCTCGCCGGCCGCTGGCGAGGCTCGGCCTCGCCCAGCAACGGCGAGGCCGACCTCGCCGGCCGCTGGCGGGGCTCGGCCTCGCCCAGCAACGACGAGGCCGACCTCGCCAGTTGCCGGTGCGGTCGGCCTCGCCAGTTGCAGGCGGGGTCGGCCTCGCCAGCCCCCGCCTCTGGCCGGTCGCCGGACCGGCGACCGGCCAGAGGTTGAAGGTGATAAAAAAAAAAGGAAAGGAAAAAGAAAAGAAAAGAAAAGAAAAGAAAAAAATTCGAAAAAATAATATTAAAAAATTGGATGAAAAGTAAATGGGGTAGATTTGGGACAAAAGTAAAAGTTTGGGGTTTTTTATGAGACAAAAAAAAGTTTGGGATATAATTGGGACAAAGGCTAAAGTTTAGGGTTTTTTAAGGAATTGGGCCCGTAAAACTAGGCTAACAAGAAGAGTTTTGAGTATTTTGTCATCTTTAATAGAATAGAAAAAGTTCTAGATTCATTATAATTATATCAATTCAATCTTAAATCTTTTGTATTTGTGCCAATTCATTCCATCGTCTGCATCGGCCGGACGGCCAACATCCACATTAGCATCGTCCGACAAAAATTAGTGGGATTGATTGAATTGACACAACCATAAAAAGGTTTAAGATTGAATTGATACAATTACAATAGATTTATGATTCTTTTAGTAATTTTCTCCGTCCTTAACGATGCCTTCTCCTTAAAAAGGGAAATGTGTAATGAGTGTTCGAAAATTAAATTCCTCATGACATGCGCATGAATCGCAAGAGATTCTGTTGAAAGAATAACCACGGAGCATCAAGATGTATAATTGATATACTTGAAATCGGAATATTTTTCTATTGAGTATGGTTAATAAGTACGTCATATATACTCATTAACAAGACTCTTACATTAACTTTTAGAACGATGAAAGCCCCTTTTTCAATTTATTTTAGAACATTTGAGGATCAGATTACAAAACAAATATATATATATATATATATATATATATATATATCGATAAAAACGGGGAGGGCCCAAGTTGGTTCTTCTTAATTCCGTCATCTCTCGCAAAGGATTTCAGTAATTTAAAAGTTTTACCTTTTTGCCAATTTGGTTATTAGCGCAAATTAGTTCCACCATTCTTAATTGATGGATTGAGCGGCGTAGCTCATGTAATTTTTATATCCATATTCGGTAAATCACGAGAAAAAAATGAGATCACATGACAGGTCGTTATCGATGTTGCCCCACTTGTTTAATGCTTTACTAGCAGAGCCTACCGTGCGATTGGACAACTCCCCCCCATTTCGAAGGTCGCTAGTATTAAACCATAGGCACCAAAAAATCAGTCAAAGTACCTGAAACCTTCAAGCAAGAACTGCAAAGATTCTTACAAAAGTCACAAGAAGGGAGGGGATAAAACTGTGAATCTCTCTGCTTTTGACCGATGCCAAGCGATGCGGTTTCATCTTTCTGATCTTCTCTGCGTGCTGTCTGTGTGGAGAAGAAGACAAGGCAAAAAAGAAGGCCAGGAAATCTGATTCGTTACGCGGAAATTCGGATTTAATTTAATCATCACCACCTTTTAATTAAGTACCCAAGATTTCAAACATCACATGCTTCTCCTTCTGCTCAAGCCATAGACCAAGTCCCCATCAATCTCTCTATCTTCCTCTCCCCTCTTGCGTATCATATAGAGGTTGGACTATCGATGTGGGCGACGGAACGAGTCCCCCCGTAGATAAAAAGGGAGATAAATTCCTGTTTTGGAGGCCTCGATCTTTGTTGGGTTCGTGCAAATCTTTCTGCTCTCTGCAATTCTCTCATTGCAGTTCGTAAAGGGCTCTGCTTTTTTGGTTTGGGTGCTTTCGCTGGATATTCGTGCGCCCCCATTTCTCTTTGGTCTCAACTCTCGAGATTTTCTTTTCCGTGGCAAAGAAAGAGAAAAGAGAAATTCGGATTCCTCTTTCGATTCCTCTCGGTTTGCGCCTTTGTCCTCATACGAGCGCCCTTAAATAACGAACCACCATTGTTTCCTGCAGAAAACCTGGGCTTCAGTTGAGACAGCGGGAGAATTTCGTCGTTCCTCTCGAGACTTTCTCTGAATTCCTGACCCTTTTTCGTCCTCCGTCTTTTGGTTTTTGATTTGACGTGAAGGTTCTGACGTCGAATCGTCACGACTGTAGAAACAGGGGACCTGTTTCTGTTTTCTGTTTCTTCAGTGTTGATCAAGAGGAGGGCGATTGAGTTTTCTTTAAGGTTAGTGAAATAGCAGAGACAGAGGGAGAGGGAGAGAGAGAGAGAGAGAGAAGAACAATCACTTCCTTGTAACAGTTGCGTTTGGCAATTCCTTGGATCGTTGTTTTCGGTTTTTTTTCTTCCCCTTCGTTTTTCCATTTTCTTTTTTCGTCGTTTAATTGCCAACGAAGAAGAGAAAGAATCTTAGTTTCCTAAAAAATAGCTGTCGGGAAGAGTCGAAAAATAGTATTTGCTCATCAGACCCATCTTTTTGGTCCGATCATTCTGTGATTTTAAGAGGGAATTATTAGTATCCCGATAATCCCTCCCTCCCCTTCCCAAATCCCTCCTCTGTTTTTCCTCTGTTTCTCTCCATTTTCAGGGTTTGGAGAGAGAAGTTGATTTCAAGAAAAACCTCTCTCTCTCTCTCTCTCTTTCTGGAAATTATGGTCGTTGACAAGGACTCAATGCAATCAAATCTGGTTTGCTTCCTCCGATGCACAACACCAGTCGCGCAATCCCAATCCCTGCCCAAGGTATGTTTCTCTGTTTGCTGCATTTTTTTTTTTATGTTCATCATTTTTATACCATCTGGTGATTGATGTGAAACTATTGGTTGTTTGTTAGATTGATATCAGGAACCTTAATCGTTTGTGGCACCCCTGGGAGAGGGAAAAGGTTGAGTATTTCACATTGGGTGATCTCTGGCGTTGTTACGATGAATGGAGCGCCTATGGGGCCGGTGTTCCGATCGTCATGAGCGGTGGAGAGACCTTAGTTCAGTACTATGTGCCCTATCTCTCGGCTATTCAGATCTTCACCAGCAGTTCCTACGTGAACAGGTTCAGGTGATTTCTAGCTCTTAGTTTTTATCCTTTTGTTGCAGCTCAAGTTGTGGCTTTTTTAAAGAACCGGAAAGATTTTAGAATTCTGCGGTAGCTTTCAGTTGATTTGGATTAATTGGTGCCCGCCATTTTCGGGGTGGTTGAGATCGATACAAAACTTCGGGTTGATTTAAAAAAACCCTTCAGTTTTTGTATTGATCAGCATAGCAGAGGAGTTTTGGCTCGATTAGCATCTGTTCCGTTTCCCAGATTGTGTAGAAGTAGCTCCTCAAGCATTTATGTGCTGCTTTAAAACTGCTTCGAGCGTCCATTTGAGATGTTCACCAATCGAAATCTTCTTGGTTGAATTAACGGGGATTGGTAACTTCAGGGAGGAGGCTGATTCTGGGGATTGTGAGACGAGGGACTCGTTCAGCGACTCCTGCAGCGAAGAGAGCGAGAGCGAGAAGCTATCAAGGACGGACGGATGTTCATCTGAAGACAGCGGGTTCGAGCAAGACACGCTATGGCATCTGAATGACAGATTGGGCTACCTCTATTTCCAGTACTTCGAAAGATCAGCTCCTTATGCGAGAGTCCCTTTGATGGATAAGGTGACGTCACTGCCTCATGCCTTTCTCAATGAGGCCAATAGTTTTAGCTTTTGGATGTCTGTATTTGAACCCAAATATATGTGATGACTACCCTAATTATTTGGATCATGCAAAGCTCGACATATTTGGATTTAGCAGCGTATGATGTGTTCTTTTATGTGGTTTCCAGATCAATGAACTCGCCAAGAAGTATCCTGGTTTGATGTCTTTGAGGAGTGTAGATCTTTCTCCTGCTAGCTGGATGTCAGTGGCTTGGTTAGACCCTCTCTCTCTCTCTCAAATACATGCCTCAAATACGAAGACAAAATGAAGTGTCAAAACAGGAAGAGGGTTCGATGCTTAATTTATTTCTTGAAGTCGGTGATGAAGTTTACCTCAGTCCTAGAACATAGTGCTGTTTCCATAAATTTAGCCTGAATCCAAGCTTTACGCAGACTCTATATGACCATAATTGGTGAATAAATTAATCAGGGACATGAAAACTTGCTTATATCAAGAACTTTTGAATATGAATGAAACTTTGAATGTGATTATGCAGGTACCCAATATATCATATTCCCATGGGAAGGACCATAAAGGACTTGTCCACTTGCTTCCTCACATACCACACCCTTTCCTCTTCATTTCAAGGTACTCAAGTAGTCATCTTTTTTCTCCACTATTCTCTCATGTTCTCCTTACCTTTTACTCTTTTGGCTGTTCATATTCTTTTGAATGTTTACCAAATGTACTCCGTGCGTGTCTATGTCAATTACAAGATATGGACCTTGAGGACGACGCCGAGTGTGCTCAGAGGAAGCGAAAGGAAGGAGAAGGCATCAGCCTCCCTCCATTTGGGCTGGCCACTTACAAGATGCAGGGTAATGTGTGGGTCTCGGGCAAGAGTGGCCGGGACCAGGAGAGGCTGATGTCGCTGTTGAGCGTGGCAGATTCGTGGCTAAAGCAGCTCCGGGTCCAGCACCATGACTTCAACTACTTCATGGGGATTCGGCGTGGCTAAAGCACCAACTTGCGCGAAAAAAGTACTCCGGAGAGATGTAGAAATGACCATGTAAAAGAGGCGGAGATAAAAACAGAAGACCCTTTTTGAGGATCAAACGTGTTAGGTTAACCGCGATCTTACGATGAGGTCGTGTTCGAGGAGGCTACTTTAGCTGCCCAAACCTATGTGAGACATGAACGTGATGTTTGTTGAGTTCGAGGGTTGTGTTTGGTTTTTCGTTTCTAACCACTGTGTAGTGTCTAAGTAGTTTGTAGGCTTAATTCCTGTGATGCAGAGGGGGTTTGGATCTGAGAAATAGGAAAAAAAAAGTAGGAGAATAGAAGGGTACTTTGATCTCTGGCTTTGTGAATTGTGTAGCTCTTATGCACTGTTGTGATGGATCTGACTCTGACTCTCGTAGGGTCATGAGCGTAGATAGTTTGTTGCTTTGTGGCATTCATATTGTAAAGAGGAAAAAAAAAGGAGAAAACAATGAAAATCGGAGTATAGTTTCGCAAATTATCAGACTCCTTAGTAACTATTTGGGATAATTGCAATGGAAATCCTAAAACTTGTCACGAAAGTGCAATCGAGTCCTAAAACTTTCAAAAAGCGTCATCAACGGAAGGACTTAATTGGATCAATTTGGCAAGTTTTAGGGTTTGATTATACTTTTTGAAGGTTTTAGGACTCAATTGCACTTTCGTGATAAGTTTTAAGACTTGATTGCATTTTTTGAGAGTTTTAAGCCTCGATTGTACTTTCGTGATAAGTTTTAATACTAAATTGTACTTTTTGAAAGTTTTAGAACATAATCGTACTTTCGCCACAAGTTTTAAGACTTTCCATATACTTATCCCTAATTTTCTCCAATTTCGCAAATCATCAGGCAATTGTCCTTCTCGTCTTGTGACTAAATAAAGAAAGATTTTCAATTTCCGAAGATATTGATTTTTTCTCGACATTAACTCTTCAGGTCAATATGTCTAATTAATGTTCGAAGTGCAACCATCCAATTCTCTTTTTGGGTGATCCAATGCACCCTGTAGTGGAATCGCTGGCGAAAGGACAAGGATGGTCCATGACTTTGGATCTGTACAAAGATGGAATGTGACCTTGGGGTCAACTTTTCCAGTGAATTTCGAGGTGGTCATTCTCGAAGAGGGAGATGTTGTCATAAAAGGATTGGGATTGGAGACTTGTTTTTAGTTCCTAGGCGTCTTGCAAATTGCGCTCAGGAGTCATCTCCTAGATATGGAGATGCCACACATGTCAAGGTCGGCAAATCTGGTCCACTGACATAGATAGATGTAGGGATAATAGTGCTGGGTTCGGTCGGCCGTGTTACTTGGCCAGATAAAGTCATTATAAAGATAGAACATGACCCGTTTCCCAAATTGTCACCAGGCCAATTCGAGTCTAGGTGAATAGCTAACACGGAATAATAGATTTGGAATGGAAAGGAAGGAAGTGGGCTGGTTCGGCCAGCGTCGAATAGCGACCGATGACCACCACTACGACCGTTGTGGCGACAATCGCCATAAAACCAGCATCCCATAGCGACCGATGACCAGCATCACGACCATTGTGGCAACAATCGCCATCTAACATAGAGAGAGAGAGAGATTGTGGCGACCAACCATTGTGATGGTTGTTGTCGCCTGAGATTGGTGACCGCCACAACAACGAGGCTTGACTACCATTATGGCGGTGGTTGCGACGGCATGGCAACAATGATGTTCCTCCATTTTTCTCTAGACCCATCATTTGATTACTTTGATCGATCCGTATAAACTTTATTCCGCCCTCAATTATTAGATCGGTATCCGGATTTATCTTGGGCAAATTCAATCAGGAGTTTCTCCGAACAAACTATAAATAAGATGGACTTTTATTCCGTGCTAAAAAGGAGATTAGAACAAAAGCAGAATAAGTTCAAAGTCGATTAGGGAGGTTTTTGAAAAGCAAGAAATTGAGATTCCATCCCATTACATTAGGTTTGCCATTTCGCAATCATGACTAGGTTTAGTGCCCCAATAGGCAGTCTGGTCGATGTAGATAAGCACTCGATTAATTATACATAAATTGTACTAATGGCCAAAGGAAGAGTAGCTTTCCCCAATGAACTAGTGAAGTTGATTGCATCAGCGGCATTAATCAAAATCAGGGCAGACTAAACTATCTTAACCTTATCTGATTAAGCATGTACTCTCGGATAGACTCACTAAATTATTTATATGCCCCTCATGTTTGTGCTTAATGATTTCATATCAAGTCCGAGGACGCATGTGTTTGGACTGCCTGAACTAGGGTTGGAATAGCCGGTTTTCAAATCGTTGGATCGGGGAGAAAGGAAAAATCGGAAATTGAGTTTGGAACCAAATCGAATATTTTACTTGAACACCAAATCGAATCGATCTACGTGCAACTCAATGAGACGTATACGTCTGACACAATTTGATGTTCAGAAAGGTTCGATCTAAACCGTTGAACCGGACTAAATCCAATCGAATTTGTCGGTTTGACCTGATTTTGAGTGGGAAAATCTGTACTCTTTTTTTTGTCACTTAGTTTTTTTTTTATCTTATTTTTGGGCATAGTTGTTCATCAAAATTAATATAGACTTAAGAGTTGGGACACGGGTGGGAGAGAAAAAGGTTGACAATCGATCATTCACGAGACGAGTCTATGACGTTTGCACAATGAAGTATCCGACATCAGCATCCATCTTCTCTCGTGCATTCATATTTGTGGATGGCTTCATAGATCGATTATATAAAGGCAAAAGTACACTACAAGTGCCATAACTTGTGTACGGCGATCACTTTGGTGCCATAACTTTTTTTCGGATCACTTTGGTGCCAAGTCGGAGCAAAAGAGATCACTTTAGTGCCAAATTGGCCGGAAATCCGACGTGGCATTTTTTATTAATTTTTTACGCCGACGTGGCTCGCCATAGGCTGAGTCAGCGTGTACAGTCAGCATTTTTAATTTTAAATAATTTTTTTAGCGTATACAGTCAGCATTTTTAATTTTAAATATTTTTTTTCTTCTTTCCTTTTTCTTTTCTCCCCTCTCCGGCCGGTTGTCGGTGGCCGGCCGGCCGACCACCGGCGAAGCCCGGGAAGGGCTGGGCAAGGGTGGCCTTGCCCATGGCCGGCGAGGGGCGGCCGACCTTCGCCGGCGACAGGCGAGGCTGGCCCTCGCCGGCCCAGGCGAGGGTTGCCCTCGCCCGACGCCGGCGAGGGTCGCCCTCGCTCGCGTCGGGCGAAGGAAGCCCTTGCCAGGCGGGCGAGGGTCGCCCTAGCCGGATCTCGGCAAGGCCGACCTTCGCCGGCGTCGGGCGAGGGTCGCCCACGCCCGACTCAGGGCGAGGGCTTCCTCGCCCGGCCGGCGAGGGTCGCCTCGCCCATCCGGCGAGGGCGACCCTCTTCTGGCGTCGGGCGAGGGCGCCCCTCGCTCGGGCGGCGAGGGCGGCCTCGCCCGGGCCGGCGAGGGCTGGTCTCGCCTGTCGCCGGCGAGGGTCGGCCGCCCCTCGCCGGCCATGGGCAAGGCCGCCCTCGCCCGGCCCTTCTCGGGCTTCGCCGGTGGCCGGCTGGCCACCGGCAACCGACCGGCGAGGGGATAAAAGAAAAGAAAGAAAAGAAAAGAAAAGAAAAAAGAAAGAAGAAAAAAAAGGAAAAATATTTAAAATTAAAAATGCTGACTGTACACGCTAAAAAAATTTATTTAAAATTAAAAATGCTAACTGTACACGCTGACTCATCCTCCGGCGAGCCACGTCGGCGTAAAAAATTAATAAAAAATGCCATGTCGGATTTCCGGCCAAATTGGCACTAAAGTGATCTCTTTTGCTCCGACTTGGCACCAAAGTGATCCGAAAAAAAGTTATGGCACCAAAGTGATCGCCGTACACAAGTTATGGCACTTGTGGTGTACTTTTGCCATTATATAAATATGATGATAGTAGGGATGATTGTCTAAGAAGTCATAAATATATTGTACGGCGACTAATTCAATCCCAAACTTTTCAATTGTGCTAATTCAGTCATAAACCTTTTGACGATTTGCCAATTCAATACTAAACCTATCATTTGGATAATTGAACGGAAAGACTACATTGACAAATCATCAAAAGTTTTAGAACGAAATTGGCACAATTGAAAAGTTTAGAATTAAATTGGTACAAATGAAAGGTTTATGACTGAATTGGCCGCCATACAATAAATTTAGGACTTTATGGATTATTTTCCCGATAATAACACACTATCAAGTATCAAGGACAAGAGCATGTTGTTGAAAACTTTAATACGATATATTACCAGTTTGTTCGGACTTTGATTATGTCTACGGTTCGAAAGATGGCCGGACCCTATACCATCTTAAATCCCGACCTAGACCTAATGATAGGTGGAATCTCTAAGTCTCTCAATCGTCAACCTAAACCAATTGAAAATTCAAAGCACGACCATTTCGTCAATTTTTCATGACGAAAATTTATCGGGCAATTGGGCATTCCATAAATGCACTTGGAAGCACAAAAGCTAGACATTAACGTAAGGCATTGACTTTGATGTCCTCTTTTGGGAGTGCAAATCATTCATGTAATCCACTTCCAAGAAGTCCCAACGGTGGAAACCCGCGATCCCTTCTCATCTTATCCAAACCATCAAACATCAATGTTATAATGATGTCATCTCAAAAGTGCAACACCCACTACTACATAGTAAACAATTTTCATCCAAAGACATAGTCTATTTGACTTGGTGATAGTGCGTGAGCATTTGCAAAGTGTTAGAAAATGTCTTTGATGGGTTTTCTTCTTTGCCTAGTGGAGGAAGAAAGTAAGCTTTTCCTAATCACGAACATGGGAGACGGGCAATAGTCGCGCGAGCCCGTCCAAATGGATAAGATGTCCACCGCCAGCACGTACGGCCGTGATAGAGATCCCGCCTTTCACGAAATTAGACGCGGCCACTGAGCGGAGGGCGTGATGAGCTCGCCCGGGGGGTTGGCCTGGACATACGGTTCTTTCTTCGACCCGAGCCATCCATCTTGGCCCGCCCAACCCAATTTGATTTAATACGAGATAACTTTTGCGTTTTAGTGATCGTCGACGGGCAAACCGAACGATCTGTAATGAGTGTGGAACTCTTGCAAGTGCACTGAAATGAATGGGTACGTTGGTGGTCCCTTCTCATCCGCTCTTTTCAACGGCAAAGTCGGATAAGTTGGGACATTATTTCTACAGCCACACATGGGCGTGGATCCTAAAGTCAATGGGCAGGGGACACCGTACCGACGGTTTGGCACATTACACTTTGCATTGTACTCTTCCTTCTCTTAGGGTGAGATGATCAAATGATGTCG